ATATATATATATATATATATATATATATATATATATATATATATATATATATATAATATTTTAGAAAAAAGTTTTATTATTAGGGGCCAAGCACCGTAGGTGCGTAGGCACCTATTGCTTTCGTTAGTGTTCTTTTTCTTCCGTTTCTTCCGCCGGATTTGAATGGCAGCCCATATAGGCGTATGCGGGAAAGTTGTATAATTTGGCACAATGATAGAGGCCAGTATTAACATTAATCAGACCAAACATGAAGTCTCAAAATCAAACTCTCTAGCGCCACCACTTGTCCAAACTTTCACATACGTTTATCATCATAACTTTTGAACCGAATGGGCTACAATCAAATTTCTTTTTTTCTCTGATTCCTTGGCTCAGTCCGATTCAAACGCACTCTATGACGTCATTTTCCATCATTAATTTTTTCGAGCTATTTTAAATTTTTCGAAAAACCTATTTGATCGAACTCGTCCTAGGCCGTTTCTCCGATTATGACCAAAATTTAATCACATGATTTACAGACCATGCTATCCAAAAGTTATGGAATTCAAGTTGATTTGACCAACCGTTTTCGTTTAACTTGCGATCAAATTTAACGAAGGACTTGCGAAAATGGACTTGAGACGATATCTCCGTAACGCATTCACAGATTCACACCAAACTTGGTATGTGTTATGACAACTAGGGTCCCAAAACTTCGTCCCAAACTCATAAAACTGGTGTCATTACATCCGGCAGAGCATGTCGAGTCGAATGATGTCTGATTTTCACAGGTCAGCCATTTTGGGCGTCGCCCATTTCGATTTTTGGCCAAAAATGCTATATTTTACCAACATATTCACATATCATTACAAAACATGGTATGCATCTGGCACAATGATAGAGGACAGTATTAACAATAATCATACCAAATATGAAGTCTCAAAATCAAACTCTCTAGCGCCACCACTTGTCCAAACGTTCATGTATGTTTATCATGATAACTTTTGAACCAAATGGGCTACAATCAAAATTCTTTTTCCCCTGATTCCTTGGCTCAGTCCGATTCAAACGCACCCTATGACTATCATTACAAAACATAATATGCGTCTTAAACCCCATGCCCTGAAAGTACTCAAAAACGTCTGGAGCAGCGCCACCTTATGGCCAAAGTGCTTGGCCCCTTAATTGCTGCTTGCAGCTATATTTTTCTTAATATCTTTTTAATTTACTCTTTTTTTAAGTCTTAACATTTTATGTCAACTTTTTGAAAAAACTTTTTTTTTATTCAGGAACTTTTTTCTTTAAATGTAATGAGTTTATTCTTAACATTTTGTATAAATCTTTGTTCTTAATTTAATAACTTTTTCAAAACAAAACGACTTTACTCTCGAAGTAACATTTCTTTTCACAACTTTATTTCTTTGCAATTTATTGACTTTATTCACAACATTTTATCTCAAACAAAACTCAAAATCGAACTCTTTTCTTGAAGCACAGTGACTTTATTCTTGAAATTTAATTTAGTCTGTTCTTAACATTATTTTGCCTTTTTTCTCAATTGAATGAGTTCATTCTCAATACTTTTTTTATTTCCTCTCGAAACTTTATGAGTTTGTTAACGTTTATATAGAAAAAAGTCACATCTTCTAAGACCATTTTACTGAAGAAAATGTGAGTGGGGTTTTCCTAGTGCTCAAAGGTTCAGGACACCCTGGATAACTTTTTTTTTATATATTAACAGATTTGTGTGTGTGTTGAGCATCAGTTAAGACAATGTTAGCACCTGTCAGCTTTAATTGTGGGGAAAACTGGATAAATTTGAGCTTTTGTCAGCTAATTTCAGCTTCCGGGTTTAAAATGATTTTTGGGGCGGATCAAAATCGGCGACGTAGCGCAGTACTGCAAGTCCAATGATGACCCGTCGGTTTCTCATTATTATTCATAGCGGAGTTTTCTTATCCTATGAGAAGAGCCGGCTGCTTAATTATTCATGAGACCTGCCAGACCTGCCAGAGTCAAGCCCGAGCTGAGAGACACGTCACACAGTATTTAGCCATTCATGAAGGCTCATATGCGTTTGTTTCCATGATCCACGGGGTTTGTTGCATGTTTTCCCCCGCGATCTTGTCAGGGCCGATCATACAGCAAAGCTGTGTGTGTGATGCAAGCATTTTTGTCGGGAGAGCAGCACGAGAATTAGAGAATGGCGGACGCTGTCTTTTATCAGGAGTTCGTTCACATTCAGACACATCGCCGTGCTGCTGTGTTTGCCTAAATCCTCCAGATTACCAGCAGGGTCAATGGTTAAAATAGACGGGGCAGGAGACCTGCTGCACTGAGTCTGCTGGATACAGGGATTGAGGGAGAATCCCCATTTATACGGTTTACATGAACGCACTTATCTTTATAATGATATAAATTGTGGTTATGTGTATATGAAATTACGAATAACAAGTGTAGCAGGGCATTAAATCACTATTTATTTCTTTGCATTTTAACTTTGTAAACTATAAACTCATGCGTTAAAATTTATCAAGTTTATTCTCAACATTTTATGTCTGAAAAGACAACATATTTTTCAAAAATAAGTATTTAATAAAATAGTTTTAAAAAAAAGGCAAATATTGGCATATATCAGTCAGCCCACTGATCTTAGATCATTTAATCAAAGTAAAAGATTGCATTTGTGGTAAAAATCAGATTTAATATCATCATCTTCCTCCACTCTTTTGTCATTAGTTTTCAGAAACATCTGATGCAGGACCAGGAGTCGACGGGACTTTAAAGAAGAATGATAAACGGGTAATAGTGCTTATAAATGAAGGCTAAACAGCCTGGTGTTTTCCTCACGTGTGTTTTAGTGATGCTTTTCATCTCTCCAGACTCTGGGAAAGAAACTGCGGCACTCTCTGCTGATCAGACGCAGCTCAAAGGTACATTTCTCAAGCCTTACTTTATACACTGTGAACTCGTGTTTTGAAGGTGCCAGAGAACACACTGATACTGTATGTTTACATTATTCACAGATACAACACAGCAATATAATCATTTAAAGGAGACATATTCATGCAAAAATCACTTTCATAAGGGTGGCAGCAGTGTGTGAATGTAGCCAGCACTGTAAAAAATGCTTTCCACTTTATGGAAATTATATAATTTATAAATTATAATAATTTATAAGAGACTTGTAAAGATGTTTATGTTATATATATATATATGTTAGGTTAATATATTTATTAATTCAAACAAACACATTTATGTTTTATTTTAATGTGCATTCATGTATTTTTATTTAATATGCATTTTTTTTGGAAATGATTTAATATTTAGCCATATTAATTTATAAATTCATTTTACAGGCATTTGAACAACTTTTTGCTTTATGTAAAATGTATTTTTTACCTTGTCTAGAATACACACGCCTTTTCATACAGCGGGGGAAATAACTATCAAACAGGTCATAATTTTTCTCAGAAAACTAAAGGTGCTGTTGACTTGAAATTTTCCCCGGATGTTGATAACAATCACAGAAATCCATACATGCAAACAAAACAAATCTAATTAGTTTACAGATGAAGTTCTGTCAAATAAAATATGACAGGAAAAAGTATTGAACACATGAAGGAAGGGAGGTGTAGTTGTGCAGGGAAAGCCCAGACCGCAGCTGAAATCTCTCAGTAGTTCTTCAGCAACCTTCCTCAGTGTAAATGAATATCAGCTGCTTCAGTCCAACATCTACATTAGCAGGAGCATGAAGATCCAACCATTTCAGCAAGACAATGATCCAAAACACAGCCAAGGAGACTCTCAGATGCTTTCAGCGAAAGATAATCAAGCTGTAGAATGGCCCACCCAATCACCTGACCTAAATCCAATAGAGCAGTGGTTCTCAAACTGTGGTACGGATTTCCCTCTAGTGGTACTCGGAGGAATGAAATATGTCATGTACATGCTGGATATATTTCAAAATGTATCAAAAATGATGTATATAATATGCCATATATGACATATAGCCTATATTTCCGAGGTAATCTGCCATGTTTTTTAACTGTACTGTTTTTGGTGGTACTTGGAGAAACAATTTTTTTCTGGGGTGGTACTGGGTGAAAAAAGTTTGAGAACCACTGCAATAGAGAATACAGAATAAAGCTCAGATTCAGTAGAGGCGACCCACAGAAGAGTCAAGATTTTGACACTCTGTTTAAGACTGAGAAACTCACACCTGAGAAATGCATGACTTCATTCTTCACATGAGAGGCGTCTTTAAGCTGCAGCATTAAAAAAAAGCTTTTTTATATAAAGTATTCATCACAGTTCAGTAGTTCAGCTTTTTCTCTTTGTGTCATGCCATTCTTATCACACACAACTCATTTCCAGATTTCATTCATTCATTCATTTTCTTGTCGGCTTTGTCCCTTTATTAATCTGGGGTCGCCACAGCGGAATGAACCGCCAACTTATCCAGCAAGTTCTTACGCAGCGGATGCCCTTCCAGCCGCAACCCATCTCTGGGAAACACCCACACACATTCACACACACACTCATACACTACGGACAATTTAGCCTACCTAATTCACCTGTACCGCATGTCTTTGGACTGTGGGGGAAACCGGAGCACCCGGAGGAAACCCACGCGAAGGCAGGGAGAACATGCAAACTCCACACAGATACGCCAACTGAGCCGAGGTTCGAACCAGCGACCTTCTTGCTGTGAGGCGACAGCACTACCTACAGCACCACTGCCTCGGCCATTTCCAGATTTGTTTTGTTTTATTTTTATGTTTATGTTGTTTGGGTTTTTACTAAAATCTGTTTCAATCCCATGTCAACAGCTCCACTGGGAATATTATTTCCCCCACTGTATGTTCTGCATAATTTCTTAACTCAGAACTTCTTAAAAATTACTATTTTCTTGTCCAAATATCTCAAATCTCTTAATTAAGAAGCGTTTTCTAGGCAAGAGCAAAATATTGTCTTGTTTTCAGAAACAGTGAGTCAAAATTTGGTTAGTCTCTACTTTAAACAAGCTAAAAAATCTGCTAACGGCGTGAGTGAAATAATCTTATGCCAAAACCGAAAACAAGATTGTTTTGCCTACTCCATTGGCAGATTAAAGGAATCTAGGATATATCTCATTATTTAATTCATTACCTCTGTTACACATCTATTAAACATGCCATTGTGTCCTTCATTTCAGGATAAAACTGGAGATGAACTGAAGAGCTCAGAGACCAACACAAACTCTCTGCATCGCGGCTCAAAGGTCAGAATTTATCAACTAAATCACAAATAATTTTATTTTCAAATAAATAAATGCATTTATTTATTATTTATATGCACTTATTTCTATTATTGTTGGAGTTTTTTAACTTTTTGTTTTGTATTTTTTGTATTTCTTCAAAATTATTCTTTATTGTTTTAATAATTTATTGAACTTTACTGTAAAGTTTTAAATGTCAAAATCTAAATTTTAGGCCTTAAAAAGTCTTAAATGAACTGAAATATTGTGTTGTAGGTCTTAAATCATTTTAAACAGGTCTTAATTATTCTCTGTCCATGTAAATCTACCAGTCAGGCTGACACCCATCCATATATACTTATTTCCATAAATATATAGATAATTGTGTAGTCTAAAGATGTGTACAGAGAATAGTTATGTATATATGCATACTGTGAATCAAATGCAAAATACATATATTAACATATATATTTGTTCTGTAGACAATCCAAAACAAATTTTGCTTAAGAAGGCTAATAATATTGACCTGAATTAAAATCAGCTTGTTTTCTAGCCAAAATAAAACAAATAAGACATTATGTTAACATTTTTAACATTGTTACGTAGCGGATGCAACGTGCTACGCACATAAGGTTAAGGATGACCATTGTTAAAAGAGGTCACCCGGAGTCCCCGTTCCTGCTCCCCAAGCACTCACACACAGGTCAAGTTGTCAAAAAGGGGTAACAGATTTATTAAACAAATATTTCAGTATCAGCGAACAAAAAGACCAAAACAACAAACAAAACAAGGTACGCTACCCAATATTAAACTTCTTCCCTAAACCGAAAATAAAGTTCCGTAAATAAAACATTCAATTCTACCCTCCATAACTATCCATTAAACAGGAGAAAACGGGACAAAAGAAAAAGGGCCTTCCCTTTGATCATTCAGCAGTAGGTAAACATTCGCCACAGCTAACACAGGATACCGTCCTAGTACCGTATTTAACAGAGTATCTCACCAGATGACTTGAAACAGGGTTGTAGAAAGGAATTAAACCAGCAGCCAACGCTAATGCAAGTTACTGTCCTATTACCGTAATTTACAGAGTATCTCACCAGATTACTTTGGAAAAAGGTTTCAGACAGAAAGAAATCACTGCCACACAGAGAACACAGAGCGATCTGCTCACACACACACACACACACACACACACACACACACACACACACACACACAACAGTGAGGGGAAACAGGAAGAGAATTCGGCGAGCAGCGCCAACAGCGTGCCCCTCTCACAGCTGCACCTGATCTCCGCTCATGTGGAGAGAAAGAGACAGATAATAGAGGATACAACACACACAGGAACAATACACACTAGCATTGTCAAAATAATGATACTCAATATGTGACAAAGACTTTCTCCAGATTAAAAAAATATTATAGGAAATACTGTCAAATATTCCTGAATCTGTTAAACATCATTTGGGAAATATTTGGAATGATTTTGACTGACTGTATATATAAACAAATAGTTGATACAATGTAGTCGTGCATATAGTTATACACACAGAAATACTTTGTACACTGAAATATATTTAACATGAACTTTTATTTTGGATACAGTTATTTCACGATTAATAATCTGACAGCAATAAAAATTGAGTTGATTAGTAATATTAGTTTGTATTTACATGATATATACATGTGCTCTTTTTATATTTAAGCATGTATATATAGATACACAAGGATACTATACATAATGTACAAACATTCATTCATTCATTTTCTTGTCGGCTTATTCCCTTTTTTAATCTGGGGTCACCACAGCGGAATGAACCGCCAACTTATCCAGTACATTTTTACGCAAGGGATGCCCTTCCAGCCGCAACCCATCCCTGGGAAAATGAACAAACATAAACAAAATAAACATATTCTTATATAATTTGTGTTATATATATATATAAATGTTTATAAATATATACCGATATTTTACACTATATAGTCATGCATGTATTTATAGACACAGTAGGCACAAATATATTTTGTAAATATGATCCTTTATTTTTAATGTGTTTATTGTTTAACAGCACTAAATTGATTATTGTGTTGCGTTTTCAGATCATCGGTGACGAGTTTTTTGCTCCAGATGAAGAAGATCAAAGAAATGAGGCAGAAAATAAATCAGTGAGAGGCTCATTACTTATGCAGGATTATTGCTGAAGTGATTATAGATTTATGTATTTGAAGATTGTGTTTTTCTTACTCTCAACAGAAGAAATCGACAAAGCCCAAGATTATTACGCAGCGCAGAGGATCGAAGGTGAATAACAGTTCATTATCACAATCTGTAGGAATCATTTTATTATATTTTACATGTTTAAGACATAAACAATGCACAATTATATGCACTTAATTCTATCATTGTTGAAGTTTTTTAACGTTTTGTTTTGCATTTTTTGTATTTCTTCAAAATTATTCTTTATTGTTTCAATAATTTATTGAACTTTACTGTAAAGTTTTAATGTCTCAAATGTCAAAATCTAAATTTTAGGCCCTAAAAAGTCGTAAATGAACTGAAATATCGTGTTGTAGGTCTTAAATCATTTTAAACAGGTCTTAATTATTCTCTGTCCATGTAAATCTACCAGTCAGGGATGTGTTTCCCAAAACCATCAATAGCCAATTAAGGTCGTGAGTTCTATCGTTACAAGCATAGTTTGTTGATTTGCCGTTTCTCAAATCTGTCGCTCCAACGAACATTCCCAAACTGCGTCGCAAACTTGAGCGCTCACAACTACACCTCTGGAGCTGCAGTTAGAAACATATTTCCTGGCTGTGTTCTATTCCCACTTATCCCTCCCTTTGCCCTATTCATTTAGAAGATTCTAACATTCAGAGTTGGTATTATTAAAAGTACAAAAGCATTAAGGTCATCTCTCTTAGGTGTAATTTGCATTCAAACTACCTTTACAGTTCAGTTTTAGCGATCTTCATGTTTACAGTTGTGCTCCCTTCGCAGTGCACTTTAAAAAACATTGATGTCATTTTGAACACAGCCTCATGGAGAAAGCTATAGGTGCCCTATTATATAAAAGAGGAATTTATGTAACGTCTCCAAAGCTTGTGGAAAAAAAAGCACACGTTAATTCTTTTAGTTTATTGTGGGTTATTTATTAAATATCTGTACTGTATATGACATGGGCCTGCCTGTTAAAACTTTCTGCAGTGGTTTACATGTGTCAAATTGTAAAAGTAGACATTTACAAATAAATAAATAAATAAATAAACAATATCCTACTTAATATTAATAATAATAATAATAATAATAATAATAATAATAATAAAAATAATCATCATCATCATCATTATCAAAATTAATATCATTATTAAAGTAGGATTTTTTTCATTTCCAATCAATAATAAATATTACATTTCATTTTATAATAAATAGCCTCATTATTTATTTATATGATTTATATGATGTTAGAATAGTGTCAGCTTTTGTTAGTGATTTTATGTTTTAGAGGAGAATATGTAATGTTCAACTTCTCAATAATATTAGTAAAGCAAACACAGTCCATATGTGGCGTTTACACATATTTCAGTTAATATGGGAAGCGAGTGCATGTTTTCACAAAATCTAATATTGGATTTTATTTTAAGTGCGTGTGCGTGTAAAACAATATCATTTGCACAAAGAAGTTATGGGTTTTTCTCTAAACAAGTAGTTACTCCGCCCCGTATAGAGCGTCATTATGGGCGTTTTAAAGAGAAACTAGGGGTTTTGGGAAACACTCGTTCTTTTCCCAAGCGATGCATCGTACCATGATAGTTCACCCGTGAGTTACGTCATTGTTTGGGAAACGCACCCCATGCAATCACCAGCAATCCATCTCCATAAAAGTTTAAACAAAAGTTTATTTATTTACTCTATTTACAAATATGATGATTATCCACCTTACAATAACATTTGTTGTTAGTGTTTTATCCGGGCCATTAGAACAAATCCTTAGCATTAAACCTTGTGTAAGTCAGACATTTCATTCATTATGTTCTTATAAAGTCTTTAACTTGACTTGATGAAACTCTGCTATATATCTGCTTTCCATATTAAACTACATATTGTTATATCAAAATATAATATATAACATTATAATTAGTTATTAAAATAATAATAATAGTTTATAATGTATGCATTAAATCTAAATAACTTCATGTGATGTGTTGTATATACTTTACTCTTTATGTTTATAGTATACACATACAATATAAACGATATAAACGTGTATTACACACGTTATATATTTCTTTACTCTTTCATGCAAAGATTGCTGAAGCTTCACAATAGTAAACAATAGTAAAATAAAATTAATAAATAATAGTTATATATATGCATTAATTTAAATAATTTTCATGTATTGTGTTAAATATGTTGTATGTTTCTTTAGATTTCTAATATATACAATACAATATAAATAATGTGAATATAATCTGCTGTATAAATGTTCTTATTAACTCTTCCAGGTGAAAAGTGCTGAAGCTAAAGGATTGACTCCAGACTCAAAGGTGTGTTCAGAGATTCGCCGTTTATAGTAATCAGTTTGCTGATGATAAAGATCACTAATATTGAAACACCTTTCACCTTTAATTGTCTCTTTAGGATGAGTTCACACTAAAGCATGCAGATCTCTCCACGTTTGGAGAGAAAAATGGGGACGTCAAACTGGTAATAATGCACAATATTCCTCTTTATGGTCTAATCTTTTATAAACAAATAAACATACATTCATGCATATGTGCATATCATTAAACTCTATTTATTTATATGTTTATATATAAGCAACCACAAAAATCCAAGTCTCCTGTTCCTCACTATCCAGCAAAGGTAATGCTTGTTTTGTTTTTTATTTAGTTTAATGATTTTTTATGTAAAAACTGAACAATAGTTTTGTATTTGTGTAGAAAAATATTACAAAATATTGCAAGATATATGATGCATTACACATTTTTGCATATTATGATGTTAAATTGCAAGTGTATGCACTGAAATTATTATAAATAGTAATTATTAAAATAAATATTTAGAGTTATTTAAATATGTACAGATATTATATTTATAATAAATCATTTAATAATAATAATAATTTAAGGCTTTTGCATTAGTTTACATTAATAACGTTTTTAGTTTACTGTAAATGAATCATCACCTCATTACATGTTGTTTTACATCTTATTTAAATCTGTAGTTCAGTGATGTTTTAATGCTCATATGGCTTATTTTCAGGACACTTCTGCAGCGGGTCTGAAGTCTCTACAGGGTCCTGCACCGATCGACTCAAAGGTGCGTTTGCACTTTAAACTATATATTCAGCATACTGACTGGCCTAAATAAAAGTTGAAACGATGACTGGAAAATAAGCTAAATAAAGCCACAAGACTGATGCGTTTTGAACAGGATCTGGTTAAATATTCTGTTCAGTTTTGTTGTTTAACAATTGCTATTTTAAATGTGTTTTTATATATTAATAATAAAATAAACATAAAAAGTTTCCACAATTATTAATTTCCACAGTATCTGATTGAATATATGTGTCTGCATGTTCACAGTATTTCCCCAAAGACCCGTTTCTGAATGGAGATCTGGGCTTTCGGGACCGGCGTGAGGTAAATCCGCTCTCTCTTTACAGTCTGATGTCTTTGTTTATTTGACCAGCATTTGACCGGCACAATTTTTAATAATAAAAAAAATCTATAAAAAAAAATAAATAAAATAAATTCATTAAAATATGTCTTTAAGGTAAAGGTTAAAGCTAAGGTAAAATTAAATTGATATTTTATTTGATGTAATATTTAAATGATTATAATCAAAGAAAATGCATTTTACACATTTTAGTGAAATTATATTATATTTTATTATATTATATTATACTATTATATTTTATTATTATATTATATTATATTATATTATATTACATTACATTATATTATTTTATATTATATTATTATATTATATTAAATTATTATATTATATTATTATATTTTATTATTATATTATATTATATTTATTATATTATTATATATATATATATATATTATATCATATTATATATATTATATTATATTATTATATTTTATTATATTATATTATATTATTTTATATTATATTATTTTATTTTATTATATTTTATTATATTATTATATTATATTTTATTATTATATTATGTTATATTATTTTATTATTATATTATATTTATTATATTATATATATATATAATATTATATCATATTATATTATATCATATTATATATATTATATTATATTATATTTTATTAGTATATTATATTATATTATATTATTTTATATTATATTGTTATATTTTATTATTATATTATATTATATTTATTATATTATATTATATTATATTATATTTTATTAGTATATTATATTATATTATTTTATATTATATTGTTATATTTTATTATTATATTATATTTATTATATTATTATATATATTATATTATATCATATTAAATTATATCATATTATATATTATATTATTTTATTTTATTATATTATATTATTATATTTTATTATATTATATTATATTATATTATATTATATTATATTATAATATTATATTATATTATATTATATTGTTATATTTTATTATTATAATATATTATATTTATTATATTATTATATATATTATAGTATATCATATTACATTATATCATCTAATATCTATTATATTATATTGTTA